TCTTACTCAGTCCAAATCCCCCTCTCTCTGCGTGTACCTGCTATCCCTCTCTCTCTCTCTCCCTGTCTTACTCAGTCGAAATCCCCCTCTCTCTCTTATTTACGCACCCTGCTGTCCTCACAGCTGCACCCTCGCCATTAGGGGGGAATATCAGGGGCAACAGAATCGCAAAAAGGAGGGACGAAAGGGGAGCAAACAGGGTAGCAGTCTGCCTGTTCAAGTGTGGTGGCAACGACTTGTACACAATGGGGGAGCTGGAATGTTCCCATAAGGCGTCTGGCAGCGCTGCAACGATCTTTAGGAAGAGCCAGGAAGCTGTCACAAGGAAAACAGATGTGTCACTCAATTGATAGTTTTAGCTGAAAGTGTAACATCGACCGTACTGACGAACAGGGCACTTAATGTATTTTTAGCTCATAGTACCGATCAGTTTTCAGATCATAGTAACAGTAGAGAATMGGGTCTTACAGCAAGTCCAGGTGATCGTCTTTGTCTGATGTCTCCSTGTTATCAGCACTGGCTTTCCCTTAGTTCCATGATGTTTCAAATAGAATGCCACCTTCTGACTGAGCACTAAATCTCGAGACCTGAGGGCTTTGGTAGCCTGGGGGACTGTAGTTGGCCCCAGATGCGAATAAGAAAAAGCGAGAATAAATAAACTAAAAACTCGTTATTCAGACGTTCGTCCTCACTCGTGATGTCTCTCATACCAACGTGATCAGTTCAGCCACTCGTCGCAACCAGGTCGTCTATCATACCGACGTGACCAGTTCAGCCACTCGTCGCAATCAGGTCGTCTATCATACCGACGTGACCAGTTCAGCCACTTGCCGCAATCAGGGGGAAAGATCGGGTGAGTCCTCTTCACGTTCAGGAAATGAAGCACTTCTGAGCGCCCCCCCCTTTTTCCCTCTCTCTCGCAGCTTCTTTTTCTCAGTCTCTTTCTCTTCCTCTCTCGCTCGATCTCCCGTTCTCACTTCTGGCCCTGAGTCTCACTCTGCCACTTTCTCTGTCCCACCTGTYGTCTCACGTTGACTTTCTCTCCRTATATCCTCAAGTGGGATCTGCTTGGCTTACCTTTGTTTCCCCTTATAGGGCACAATCGTTAATGATCACTCATCCCCCCCATCGCCTGTTACTTCCCTACACAGTCTCCCTACCCCACATGCCTGTGTGACATGTAGGATGCATGGACTTGGTGTTCAGCTGTCCACTCGAAGCATCATCCGTGCAGACTCAATCACTAGCCATCAGTCCGCCCCCCCCTTTTGCTAGCGCTCCTATCTGAATCTGCGCATCTGCACGCGCGCTCCCCATGCTTCCTCCTCCCCTACAGCCCACTCTCTCGCTTTCCTCCTGGTCGAACCTCTGGTACGGTCCCTTTCACTTTCACTGGTGCGAATCCTTGCAGGGTTCGCCTGCCACTCCCGTTTACTCTCCGTCGGAATAGCCCCCGTTGATCCTTCTGTTCGATCCCTGTGTCCTCCTTGCGCCCTCCATCGCTTCCTCTTACCTGGCCAAGTGCTCGCTCGCCATGTACATCGTGCACGCTCCCCCCCCGTCACGCCTCACCGGACATAATAAGGCTTTTCCCCGAGGTGTACACCTGGTACAGCGCCCCTTTTACATGCCGCTGTGTACCCCTTGTATGCTCACGCGTCCCCCTATGTACACCTTCTTGTCTCCCCTTTTAACAGAGCCTTTCCGCGGTACAGAACCTTTCTCTCACTGTGTGGTGTACGCCTTGGACAACTTCCCCTCAATGTTTCTCCGTCCCCTCTCTTCCGCTCTCCCCCCCCGTTAACCTGCCTAGACGCATGCTGTATTCCGCTGTGTACACCTGGCATGCTTCCTCCGGAACGGAGCATTTCCGCGGTGTACACCACGTACACCTCCCCTCTTGTGGTCCGCTGGCCTCTACTATATCCTGGCCGCATTGCCTGTGAGCGTTAGCGGACGCGGACCAATGACTCAGTCTAGGCCAGGCTCGCAAGCCTGGGCCCGCCCAGGCAGCGGTACCAGAATTATACCGGGCCTGTTTCAAACCAGCGTACCGAGCCTGTTTCCAACCAGTGTCCCGAGCCAGCCGGTCTCAAATAAATAATAGTA